GAAATGGCAAGGCCGTCATCCGAATAGAATTATTGGATTGGCTTCAAGTTGGTTCACCTGCACTGGAGCTCGTTCCGTTCAGGCCGCGGTGAGAATGCTCTTCTCCATTACACTGATTCCATTCTGATTCCTAGTCCATGAAATGCTCCCTCCGAATATCAGGACTGAAAACAATTAGACTCCATGCCGAGGTTCCAAGAGAGGATAATAAAAGACCAGGAGTTACGCGACAAATGTTTTTCTCCAAATGCTGGAATGCAGGAATGATCGTCTGCTCTTGCGTCGTTTTTCACACTGCATAAGAAACGAAGTATGAATACGCAATGAATGTAGTTTTCTGGGCCCACGCCATGCACCAAAAATCATACGGCGACTGGATGAGGAACTCAGGAGGAGTTTCAGACATCTCCTAGGGCTCCTTCAACCGGGCATAACTTCGATTCTGCTCACTGATTTCTCTTTCCTGATGTGAAGAGAAAACACTTGGAATGGGACATAGGCGCTATTTGCCTTGGGATGGGTCACATTCCAGCCATGCCTAGCCACTTCATGCTCTCTGAGTGAATGAGAGGAGTTAAAGGGTATCATGATCCCACCTTGATTAAGCTATGTCGCCCTGTCTCGGTGAGAGGGTACAGACGAGGGGACATTACGTGACTCAGATCCCCTGAAGGCAATTTTCCGATGCACATAGCTCCGAAACCAGGGTACGCCATCGCGTTGTGATAAGTTGTGATAATTTCCCGAAAAATATACGACCACCGTTAATTCCATCTCCAAATACGACCCCCTCCCCATGCCGCCTACCACTTTCCTAGATTGTCTCAACTTCCTACCACTTCTACCATTTTTTCTGGAGAAATTTCCAGTTATTCAGCCAAGAATTTTCCGTCGACCGTTGGGTGGGAGAGGGGGGGGGAGGGTTGGATTAACCTATCATTTTCAAAGTGCCGGAAATAGTAGTTGTATAGATCTTTGGCAGTCCTCCTCCCAAAAACGACCAAATACGACCCCGTCCATTTATAGCGTCCGTAAAGCAAGTAGAGACTACCTTAGGGATTGCTTTTAGCCGAACCAAGATGGTATAAAAGTTTATTATAAAAGTTTTTTATTGGCTAACGTTTCGGCGCCTTATCGCCTTCGTCAGAGCCTGGAAAAAGTCAAAAATCAAAGTGAAACTACCCTCGGAAATCATTTCAAACCTCAGATAAGCTAGTCCCAGACCAGTAGGATCCAGAAAGTCATAGAACACAACCACAAACGACTCACCTTTAATGCACGACCGGTTCTTGTTGAGACCACCGCTAAATAGAAAAAAAAACTAAATAGACTCCCCGTCGGTGGCTTCAGCTGACCTGACCGCTCTACTTGATGCCGATGGCAACTGAAGCCCACACAGGTCAGCAAACGGGGCGAGCTCGTTTGTGTGCGTTTGTTAGAATAGAAAGGACGAATGCCTGGCCATCACAAACGAGCTCGCCCCGTTTGCTGACCTGTGTGGGCTTCAATTGCCATCGGCTTCGAGTCGAGGGGCCAGGTCAGCTGAAGCCACCGACGGGTCTATTTAGCGGTGGTCTCAACAAGAACCGGTCGTGCATTAAAGGTGAGTCGTTTGTGGTTGTGTTCTATGACTTTCTGGATCCTACTGGTCTGGGACTAGCTTATCTGAGGTTTGAAATGATTTCCGAGGGTAGTTTCACTTTGATTTTTGACTTTTTCCAGGCTCTGACGAAGGCGATAAGGCGCCGAAACGTTAGCCAATAAAACTTTTATACCATCTTGGTTACGGCTAAAGCAATACCCTATAGGAATTCAAAGTATGCCAAGATTCATCGAGAGTCGAACCTGGACACTTCAAGAGAGATTAATTATCGAAAGAAATTTTCCTCCGATCAAAACCACTCCTCCCCCGCGATGGCGTGTCGCCTTGTCCGAAACACATGTGATCGCTGAGACGGACCAGTACTGACTATGCTCACTGTAGGGGGACAGCACAGCGAGAGGTCACACCCTATGAAACGGGCCCAGAAAAGTCAGCAACCAAAACATTTTTCACAAAGGCAAACACGACCTCTCCTCATTTTTTGCAAACATACGTGATCCCTTTTGCCAGTGAAGCCCGACGTAACGCCCGAAGGTAACGAGGTGCTCTGAAAGTGCATTCAGATACTCGTTGCTAACGGTCAAGTTGAATGAGCAGTACTAATGCAGTACATACATATTTCTGATACAATTCTAGCGAGTTCCGTTCTTGCCAATAACACATCTGGCCATTTCAGAAGCTAACAGAGAATAAAAAAGATCGAGAGCATGAAACTTCTGACATAAATGTAGCCTAATCTTTGAGGGTGACCGATTTGGCCTAACCTACTGTTCGGCTTGGAGAGGGCATTGAGCACTTTCGTTAGGTTTCTTTTCTTCGGTTCATGCTAACTAACTGATTTCGCTTCACTTTCATTAGACCTGTAAATCCCTCTGAAGTTGGAAAATTGCTCGACGAGCCACTTAAATCATAGGATTTTACGGGTCCTTACAAGGTTGCCTGGACAAGCTTAGGTGAGTAGCCTTCGGTGCCTGCCTCCACCAAGCCGAACTGCACCCTAATTTCTCTACATCAGTGAATTTTATGCAGTACACAGCACAGCTCAGCGAGGTAAAATAGCCTCAGAAACTGATGATTGTTTACCCTTCATTGTTTCAGTGTTTGTAGCCGTTCAAAAGCACCCTGCTTTGATGAAGTGGTTTCCATAGCGACGGGAATGCAGCTCTACGGCTGGCACATTTTCCGACCGCTCTAGCCACTATCCAGAATGTCATCAGAATCACTGAAATTTATCGTGGAAAACTTAAATGCGCCACCATTCAATTGTAATACGTCATTGATCGCTTTCGACACCTGGCCACCGAATGTTCTGCTACAGCAACTGAGTGATGTTATCAGGTAATAGTTATGAATTCAGGCCGTTTTCTGACTCATATAAACAACAAATCTCCAGCTGGATCACCAAACGGCTAATACTGATATCTCAAAGGAGACTCCAGATGAAACTGCTCTACGGAATTCTGTACAACCTCAAGATTCTCCGATTCAAACCACCTTCTGACATTGAACAGTTGTAAGAACGCTCAGCGCTTATGAGATTCAGCCGAAGAATCTCATTCACTATCGGAAGTTTCAGGGATGAATGGAGAGCAGGTTTGGTCGAGGGCGCAAAGAAGTCCGTTTATCCTGTGCTTATCTATCTATTTTCCAACACTGATATATGCTCAACAAGGGCTTATCTCGCTAAATATCTCATACAGGTACAGATTTTGAATGATTTTTTAACCCATTGAACTGTGCCTTTAAATTAGTCGGGCCAAGTTAATATTGGATACACCTTATATCCCGGGGATGACGGTGGCGCGCCATGAACTCATTTGAACGTGGCCTCGGCTGCGCTTCTGGTGAGATATCTTCGTCCTAGGGCATTTGAAATCAAGTATAAAACAGGGTGCCCGTTGCTCCAAGAAGTAGGAGGATAAACAGTAATTCCTCGAGAGCAAAAATATCCTACGAGAATCGCATCCTACGAAGTGTCTAGGACTTCGCAGCCACGCCTTCCCCATCCCTTGGATAGTACAGTTGCATGCACATCGCTCCACAGTAGACAGTCCTGTGCAGAGACGCCGGTTGATTTTAGGGGATTTTATGTTTTGAATGCACATCCAAGCTAATCAAAAAAATATGCGGAATGCACCATAAAACATTACACCATTCCTCACGTGGTGTGTCGCTCTTTTCACGCACCGTGGAAACGGCGCCCACAAAAATGAGAGGATGATGCAGTGGCGAATTAACTCACCCATGCGTTCCTTGTGAAAATGACAAATCGACAAAATTTAATGAAATAATACATCAAAAATACAAGTTCATGAATTTAGGATGAAATTCCCAGTAATCTAATGGACAACGATGTAAATCAACTGCGAAACGAACTAGCTCAGTACCAGGAAAGATTCAAGGTATACAGCAAATTTTCTATACAAAAACGTTCTCTAATCAGACTAAGGAGCTGTAGAAGAAAGGGAGAGTGTGTGGCCATAACGCGTGAGCTGGCGCCCTTCCTCGACCTTTGCAAGTTTTGATCTACCGTGAGGTCGAGGAGGGTGAATAGTACTGGTTACTTCTCGATTAAGTGTTCCTCAGGGTGGTCGACCAGTGTTCCTCAGGGTGGTCGACCCCGCATAGCGGCGGCTGATCAGGTGAGCCAATACTATTGATTGATATCGTTGGGTGCTTTACTAGTCTAGGGAAATTGTCTTGAGATTGTTTGGGCGCTTGAGCGGGCAAGTTACATCTGTTTTTTGTCCATTTCAGGCTCAGACGAAGGCGAAGACGGATATCTAGCTAGAAGGGGTGAGTGCTAGAAGAGCTACTTTTGGTTGAACGCACTAAGAAATCACACCTGAACGACTTAATTACATTGTTAACTAGTACGGTGAACCCTTAATTATCCTGCAATTAGCTGGAAGACCCCACGGTCTTGCAGGGAATCAACTGCTGTAAGTAGTGATTTGAAAGTCGCTGCTCTCAGAAAGGTACCGACATCGGACTGTGACGTGTTAGGGATCATTGGGTGCGATTGGACACCTGCTCACCCAGGGTGCATCCCACTGAGGGTACCAGGAAGAGGGTGTACTTAGGACATTCGAATTGAGAGCGCTCAAACTAGGAAAGTGTTTCCTAGTCATTTCAGTTAGCACATACAGCGTTACCACCTTTGATCAACCAGTTCCTTCTGCTGGAGCGAATGCCGCGCACGCGACACCATTTGCAACGCTTCTAGCGCCGCAGCTCCAGCGTGCTGAACTGTACCACGCTAAAGGCTGTGGATTTAGAAGATAGCTTCTAACTTCTTTGCCAAGCGGACCACACCGCCAGGAACTGTTTTATAAGAGAGGGTGAGAGAGAGATAGAGAGAGATAAACAGAGAGAGATGAGTGGGTGGGTAGAAAACAGCTCCCATCTACAGGGATCTAAATCATAACTAGCCTTTAGAAAGGCAATCCGCTTAGTTTATTCGGCACTCTTCGGCCCAGATGTTAGCCGAAAAGGTTAGTAGAGAATTCAGATAGCCAGCGGTGAACAGTTGGAAACCAGGGAGGGGCGGGAGAGTGAACAAACGGGTTCTTCCAGCATATGAAAAGAGCAGAAAACTTTGAGAAAGTAATGTGATTCTGGTCATCATAGCACTAATAACACTTAGTCCCGAAACATCCGCCACTAATGATCATTTTTAAGGAGATGCACGCAAATGTTCTCGAAGTCCAGCAAGACACTATGCTCATCGAAGACATAAAAGCTGATCTGAAGTCAATGGAAGCAGAAAAGGAGGGGCTGACAAGAAAAATCCAAAATCTTCCTGCACTGGAGAGGTATGTCGCCTTTTTCACATCATGTTAGACTACCAGAGCTCATCTTTTCACCAAATGACTTGTTTATTGTTTATTTGAATGGCAGTCGAAATCCTTAAGTAAATTTCTGAAACGTTAGGATAATGTGATGTATTGATAACCGTCCTCCACCCGCAGGTTCCTCATCCGCCTTGAAAAAAGTTATTTTCCTGGATCGCGACATGTTTTTCGCACCTTTCTATGTCTTGGCAACAGTCCTCCACCTCTCTGTGCTCTGAGCTTTCCAGGATACCCAACGAAAATTCCACATGCTCGAGGGCAGTGAGATGCGTCACAAAATACTCATTCTGTCGCGCAGAGCTTTCATCAAAAAGCCTGGCCATCAGCCCATCAGTCATCCTGGGGTCCCTTGGATGCCGCGAGGGATCGTCTCAGGGCACTATCCGGCGAGGAGTGTCAACCGGGAATCCTCTCCTCTCTTTCCTTTTTTCTTCCTCCCTCTTCCTTCCTTCTTTCCTTCTCTGATCCCTCCTCCTTTACCTTCTCCCTTCCAACTAGTGGACTGGTAGATGCTTCGTGAAAATACCCCTGGACCCTCGCAGCGAGAGCACGTCTGGTTGACAAGAGCCCTACGCGAGCGGCGTCATGTCGTAAACCGCTTCTTACAAAGCGTTTCTTATGATGCCCTGCATAAAGAGCAGCCCACCCAGTCATCGCGTTCTCATAGGCAACACTGGCATCCAGAAGTCTGGACTGTTTTTTGCTGCTGGGACTGGTAAAGAGCTGGAAATAAAAAACCAGAAAATTTCTTGAAACTATCTGGAAAAACTCATTCAGTAAGTTTGCTTGACTACTGGACTCTAAATTACCCGCATTGCTTTGAGCTGTTCCAGGCAAATGGCAGCAGCTGATCAGCTCAGCTTGCACAAGGAACGCCTAGAACACATGGAAATGCAACGATCGGAGCAGCGCGACGGGGTTCTGCTCCTTTTATTTAATTTAATTTTCTAGTAAAATGCGACTTCATTCGAGGTAATCCATGCCGAGAAACGAGTTCAACGTCTCAAAGATCAGCTCAACGAATTACGCCAAGCATCAGAGGACATTGATCCCTCGAATCTTATCGCTCAGTTGAAGGTACTGTTACCATTTCCGCTTGGTCATGATCAGAGCACGTCGTACGCTATGAGAATCCCCACAGTGGGGTCGTATTTGCCGGAGGCTGGAAGGAGTAGGGTCGTATTTGGTGTGGCAAAAATTTTTCGGTGGTTGATTTTCCTTTTTCACGCGCGCCATTTATGTCGCTAGGAGAATACCAATGTGTGGATAGGTGGGGGAGGGAGAATTGCTTTGCTCTGGGGAAGGAGCGGCCGTATTCTCGGTTGCGTTTTTTCGCGCCGTTTGTTTCGGTTTTGTCGGTGTTAAACCCTCCGCTCTACGGCATTGTTTTGAGAAGCACTGGAAAATTTTGGGGAAAAAACATGATGTCGGAGCATGAAATGTTGGCAAGACACGGAAGGAGGCGAGGGGGAGGGGGGGTAGCAGAGGACGAAACTGAGAGAGGGGGTCCTGCTTTGCAAAAAAATTGGGCGCCTATTTAGCCTTTACTGCCCCAACCACTCCAGAACCTGAGCCGTGTTTATTTTTGACCGACTTTTTTCTCCGTGGACAGATTTGGCTCAAATGTTGTCTCCTAGGGTAGTTTGACCTCCTGAATACGAATATCACATTCGCTTAGCCTGAAACTTCCTGGCGCCCGCGCCACAGGCGCCGGTGATTTGGGTAATTTGGCGCCAGCGCCTGTAGCGCGGGCGCCAGGAGGTTTCGGGCCAAGCGGATGTGATATTCGTGTTCAGGAGGTCAGACTACCCCTGGGAACAAATTTTCAGCCAATTCTGCCAACGCAGAAAAAAGTCGGTCAAAGGGCCTGTTTTTGGAAAAATGGGGCAGTAAAGGGTAAATAGTGCCAAAAATTTCCTTGAAAAATTGCAGGACGTGCCCTGGTAACAATACAAGCTTTCCTAGGACTGAGAACTCGTTGAAAAAACTCGCCGTTCTCAATAAAAATCACTAAACCTGCCAGCACATCATGATAACCTACATGTATTATTCCAGGACGAAATCGCAACGAATTCGTACCTTTATGAGACGAAACTTGCAAAAGAGATCGAGCAAAAACGTCAAGTGGTCAGTGAACTCGTCAATGCAACGAATATAACAGCAACGAGCAATTTCGACATTAATGCTTTGCAGGCTGAGGTGAGTTAGTGCTACAAGCTTGCCGACTTCAACTATCAGAGTAGTGTCGTCGCTGCGGTCAGCTTGGACGTTAACTACAATCACCTCTTTGTATGAGCCTAACTTGTGAGAAAACTACAGCTGCTATTTGAAGGCAAAGCCTACGTTCATTCGCCATCACAGATAGAGGATTAAGGGTTTGCATATAAACGACAGGGTGCTGAGTAACTTGATAGTAAAGAAGAAAGCGCAGAAACATGCCACTGCCCTAAGTGGAACCCCACTTTGATCTCAGTTTGTACGTGCCCAATTAACTCTATCTCCAACACTACGCCCCCATCCGCACAGCTGATTCCCCGATAAGAACTCTACGACCGTACAAGTGACGATTTTCATGCTTTTTCGTCCTGCAGCTTCGTTTTCACTGAAAGGCGGGCCTTGAAGGCGGAGTCTGGAGGCGGAGTCACTGGAAAAAAGGAGGCGTCACTGAACCTATACTGCGCCATAGCGCCCTTTCCTTACAATTTTTTCCGCGAAACCGGCATAAGTTCGTCAATGACCACACTACCCTCCCTCCCGAAGCCATATTTT